ACCAGGCGCAGCGCAGCCCCACCTGGAAGTTGATGTACAGGTTGCCCTTGACGTAGGGGCGGCCGGGGTACGGCATGCCCTCGTCCGCCACGCACTGGACACAGTCCGGCCGCACCACCTCGCCCTCGGGGCTGGTGATGTGCAGCACCCGCCCGTCCAGGTGCTTGATGGTGAAGCTGACGCCGCACAGCGCGTCGCGCAGGTTGATCTCCTTCACGATCACCAGGTCCTGGCTGTTGTGGGGCATCCGCTGGAACACGGCGTGCTCCCTCTGCGCCACCACCAGCACCACGTCCCCCGGCTCCAGCCCCGCCTCGCTCACGCCCGCCTCGCCGCGCAGCACGATCTTCTGCCCGTGGCGCGCCCCCGGCTCGATGGCCACCTCAAACGTCTTCTTCTCGTTCACGAGCGCGCTGCCGCTGCAGGTGCCGCAGCGGTCGCCTGGCGTGTTGAAAGAGGGGCGGGACGTGCCAGTGAAACCAATGAGCGCTGGGGCTGGCTACGGCACCGAAAAAGCACCAGGGCCAGGTTGCCATTGCAAATAGCTTGCTTCACCCATCCTGCTCCCTACTCTGCCCCTTGTGACCGGCTCCACCCCCTCACAGCGCCACTCACTGTGCGGCTGTGATGACCCAGAGCCATTGCATTCGCTGCAGCGTGCCTGGATCTGCTGCACCATGCCGGGCCCGATCGGCCGGATGTGGACCTGGATGCCGCTGCCATGGCATGTGTTGCACTCGTAGCGCTTGCCGGAGCGCGAGCCGGTGCCAGAGCATGTGCCGCACAGCACCTTCCGCGCGAGCGACAGCTTCCTGCAGGGCGGAGGGCGTGGTAGGAGCGGTTGGCGTGGTGGCGGAGCGCAACATCCTGGACGGGGCCCGGCACAGCCAGTCAGCCACCTGCGCACAGCCGGCCAACCACTCAAGCAAGGCCCTGTCCGCCACCCCTCGCGACAGGCGCCGCCGCTGACGTTCTGCCCTGCGCAGCTGTCTTTTCCTAGCAAGCGCACAGGCGCACACGAACGTGCATGCCCGTGTGTGCGGACACACACACACACACACACACACACGCACATGCACGCACACGTGCACGCTCGCACATGCTCACACGCGCTGATACACACACGCGCATGCAAGCACATGCAAGTGCACGCGCGCGTGCACACACACACACACACACACACACACACACACCACAAGCGCGTGCGTAAACACATTCAACGCATGCACACATATGCTCCCAGGCAAGTGGAGGAGATCAAACCAAGCCTGTCAACCCAGCAGCAAGTGGTGATGTTCCTCACTTCGTAGTGCCGGTGTAGAGGTCCTCAAGGGGCACCTGCAGCTTGTGCACCACGTCGTCGCTGCGCCGCTCGCGCGCGCGCCCGCCGCGACCGCCGCCGCCGAAAAGCTCGCCAAACAGGTCGGCCATGCTGCCACCACCGCCGCCGCCCCCTGCGCCCATGCCCTCCTTGATCGCCTCCTCGCCGTACTGTTGCGCGGCGTGACGATGCGTGAAGGGGCGGAGGTTGAATGACGTGTGTACAGAATGCACTGGACTGTGAGGCCTCGCAAGCGGGCCTCGTCTGTCAAGCGCCGCCCGGGCCTCCCCAAACCGCCTGCACGTGTGCCTTGCTGCGTAGCTACAGACACTCCCGGGCCGCTGTGCAAGCGGCTTGTCTCTACCCACCCTATCGTAAATTTCTCTCTTCTTGGGGTCCTTCAGGACGTCGTGGGCCTCATTGATTTCCTTGAACGTGTCGGGGTCGCCGCCTGGAGCCAGCATGAGTGCACACAGAAGGTCACATGCATGCGATGCTACCGGAAGCGCACAGCAGCGGCGGCGCCGAGCCGGCGGGGTCCGCGCGATGCGGCAGCGCGCGAGCTCTCACCCTTATCTGGGTGATGCTTAAGAGCGAGCTTGCGATGAGCCTTCTTGATTTCGTCGGGGGTCGCGGTGGGGGACACGCCCAGGATCTTGTAGTACCTAGTGGAGTCTCCCTTCTTCGGGCCCCCCATGCCCCCGGGCATGCCTCCGGGCATACCTCCAGGCATGCCGTCGAACGGCATGCCCCCGCCGAACGGGAAGCCGCCAAACATGGCTTCTCAAGGTGATTGGCGGGCTTGTCACAAAAAGGCCCTAGCGCACACAAACTGAAGCGCTCTCAAAGATATAGGAAATCCCGCGCGTTCGAAGCAACTGAAGCGAGCAGAAGACCAGAAGAGAGGGCGAAAGAGTCGAGGACGCTTCTGGATGCTATACGTTGAGCGCCTTGAAAGCCGTGATCGTTGCAGTGGAAGTGTTAGTGCAATACAATGTACAAATCAGCACTGGCGGTCAGCGCTTGCTGTCCGCCGAGCGATGCAGGGAGGGTGTGCGTCAGTGTCTGGTGACACAGACGATGCAGGCAGGCGGGTGGCAGGATCCCTGGCACAATCAACGGCATCGCACAGTGAAACCTACATTGTATATGTTTTGTAGTCATATACACTGCGGTGTGTTGGATTCTGCCCTACCATCAGCGCTCCATGGACGACCATTTTGACCTGCGGTCAACCTCGTGTCTGAAAATCTGGGACGTATGAACGAGAGGATGACTGGACAGGTAGGCTTGCAGACATTCAACTGGCAAATGTTGATTTATATTCTGTCCACTGTTGTGCGAGGCTATGTGTGGGGCTATGTGTGGGGCTGCCAGTGTGGAGCTGGTCACGATGCCCTTCATCATTCATCGTTCTTTTTCAACAGGCGTCACCTCAGCCTACCCTTTGTTGCTTGCCATCTTGACGCCAGGTGCTCTGACCACATACAGGCAACGTGTATCTGCTGTTGCCGCACAGGCCGTCACTCAGAGTGCTGGCTGGCGCAAGCTCGAGCAGCCAGCGCTGCGCATAAGGACAACGTGGCTGCTCCGTGGCTGTTTTCATTCCTCACTTTTTGAATCTGTGGTTTCTGAAGCGCAATTGATCAGGGCCTGCAGGATGTGCGAGTTGCCGGATTGCCAGCTGGCTATCGTAGCCTTGAGCTCTGCATGTGGCAAGGCTACAAGAGCTGATGCGTCCTCATCACTCAGTCAACACCATCCAGGCTGCATCTTGGCGCGCCTTTGACAGCGCAGCACCTTACGCCACCCGGGTCGTCATGCAAGTCACAGGATGATTGGATTTGCCCTCGTCGGAAGTAGCACACACTGACATAACCCCCCGCCCCCGGCCGACTGCACAACCTTCATCACGGGTGGGGCGCCGCCCACACATATGACGTTGTGTGCTGCGCACGGCTCCGCAGCCAAATAAAATGCATGCCTAACAGAATGTGATTTGTGCTCATACCGTACACGCGGTCCGTTGATCTGTGGGCACGGTGTGGGTGGGACCCTGAATACCGTATGCTCTCATACAGGCTTTTTAGGAATAAGCAATGATATGTATGGATCCGTAGAGACAAAGCTGGGCCGATCGACCGGTCTGCGTGGCGCGCAGCAGTACCGTAGGCGCAGCGAGCGCACAGGCCTGCTGCGCGCCAGCTAGCCAATCGAAAGGCGCCACAATGCTGGCGGGCGCGCCAAACCTACACCGCGCCGTGGCGGAATGCACCCAGCCGTACTGCGCGCCCACGCCGGCCGCCTCGCGGGCGCTGCAGGTGCGAGGGCAGGCGGGTGGGACTGTAGGTTGGGGGCTGTTGGGACTCAGCATTGCCAGCGACCCTCTGCGCGGCAGCTCGTTTACGCCGCCACGTGTCATTGGCACCACGCCGCTCCAGAAATACCTGGCAGACGAGCGCTGCATGGACCTTGTGTATCTCGCGGTGCTGTCGCGGGCGGCGGCACAGCCTATCAGGTTGGTGGGCAGCATCGGGCACGCGCAGGCGCGGTCGAATGCAGCGTCGCGCTGGCCCGCCAAGGTCGGCATCGTGAGGGGCGAAGTTGATAAGAGCACAAAAGAGGCTGTTGCATCGGGGCTGCAGCAAGGCTGCATGCGGCGTGATGTACAGCGGCTGTTGCGGGGGATTTTGCTGCCGCATGCAGCAGTGTCTGGCTCGAGTGTCGCTGCTGGTGCGACGCTGAGGCGGGCTTGCCCCAACGCACCTGCTCAATCCATCGTCGATCCCGCCGGACCTGCACCAGTGAGGCGGTCATTGCTAAATGTGCAGCGCTGGTGAAGCAGAATCTGCACAGGTGGGCTGGCTGCAGGGCTGTCTGGCGCTTCCTTGTGCACTAGGCACGCCGGGATGGCGGGGATCATGCGATATCACCAGGCGGCACTATGAATTTCGACGCTCAATTGACCATGCCTATTGCATGCTTTGCCACCAAGCACGTGCCGTGCTGCTTTTTGCCGGTACGCAGGCACACGCCTTCAGGGGGCGTGCTGCTGGCTATCCAGGCAGGGGCTCGCCGCCTCGCGGCGTCCCTGCCAGCCGCGTCAGGTCTGCCGCCATCCCTGCAGGCTGGGGCGCGCTGCTTTCAGGCAGCTAAACAGGAGATCGTGGGCCAAGTAGGCGCCTATGGGGGTGCATAACAGCGCACCCTTCTCTGAAGTCCCTGTGGAGAAGTTGCACAGCCCCCCAGGCTGCCGCGCGTCACTTCCGCCCTCGCCCCCTCCCCTGATGCCCGCGAAGATGTTGCCAAGAGCCTGCTCTTCCTCGCAACCAGCGCTGCGCGGCTCGGCGGCGGCGTCACCGGCTCCGCTTTGCATCAAGCAGCAGCCAGGTGCCTGCCCACATCGGGCCACAGGGAACGGGCTTGCTTCTACACACCATCGTCTTGTGGCTGTGGCGCTGAACGCGCATCGCGAGCTTCATGTAGGGTTGAATGCACCTGGTTCCCGTGCCTCCTCACATGCAGCCTGTGGCTCTGGTCCGCAGGCCCGAGACTGCCGGACTTGACGACGCAGCTGCCGGCCCACGGCCCCGCAGCACCGCGCTCGGTGACAGCTACAGCGCAGCCTCCTCAGACACAGCCGGCGCGGGTCCTGGCGGCGGTGCGGCCGCGTGGCCGGGCAGCGGGAGCATGCAGGGCAGCCGGCAGGGGCTGGGGGGCGGCGACGAGGACATCGATGCTGAGGAGTGGGAGGAGGATGAGGGGCTGCTAGAGGAGGAGCTGCGGGCGATGGGCGCAGCGCGGCCTGTGGTGGGGCAGGTGGGCTTTGAAGACACGCAGTGGGCGCTCTCGCCGGCCGCCAGGGATGTGACTGCGGAGAACGAGCGGTGCTGGGCTGCTGCTTGGCAGGGTGGCAGCGCACGCCGCTGGCTGGCAGGAACTGCTGTCAGGAGGGCGTTACCGCGGCTGAGTGCGCACGCGGGCACAAAAGAGCAGCTGTGAGCATGGGCCTACATGCACCACGCACCCCTGCAATCTCCTCGATTGAGACAGGGTGGTTCGGCCCCGCCCTGGGCGCTCGCTCCAGAGGACCTGCCCTGGCCCCGCCTGGCCGCCGCCGCCGCCGCCGCCGACAGCTGCGCCGCGGACTGCGCTGCTGGTAGCGGCGGACTGGGCGCGTCTGGCGAGGTGGACTGGGCGGACCTTGTGCCCGAGTATAGCGGCAGCCTAGCACCCCTGCTACACGGTGATGCCGGCAAGGAGCAATCTCGGTAGTTGACCGCTTTGAGTAAGACGGCGCTTGAGCAGAGCAGCGGCGCTGGAGTGTGCGTGGGCGTTGTTTTTGGACGGGTGTCTCACGAACACCCCTCTCGCCGAGCTAGCTCGGCTCCCCGCCGTGCTCCATGCATGGCAAGGGGCGGCACGCCCACCCTGGCATCCTGATGTCCCACCTTGCCTGCCCTGGGTGTGTTCCCGTGCCCCCTGCCCTGCCGGCTGACCAGGGATGTACAGCGAGGAGGGCGCCGCGCTGCCCGCGCTAGACTGCGGCCAGGTGCTCGCCAGCTTCACAGGTCGGTGCCGGCAGTTCAGGGAGGGGGGCGCCGCGTTGATCAGCGCAGCTCGCCGATCCGTGGCTGCCACATCCAACCCCGCAGCGCCGATCCCTCACCGCCGTCTGTCGCTGTCTCATTGTGAGCCCCCATCAGTCCAGGCTCCTCCCCACCACCTGACCCAACCCCGGGCCCTCTGCCTGCGCATCAGATGTTGACCCGGAAGTGGCGCTGGACCAGATGCTCGTCATCGCGGCAGCCAGGCGGCAGCAGGTAGGGGGAAAGGCGAGCCAGGCAGAGGGGGTCACGGGTGGCGAACGGACGCGATTCAGGCGGCCTCTGACGTTGGCGATCAGTCCTGGCCCCTGCGTGGCTGCTGCCGTGCCCGGCATGCCCTATGCCGTCGTTCCATGGTCGCCCTGGTGCCCCTGCAGGGCAGCTTGTCTGCATCACAAACACGTATTAACTTATCCTCGCCCAACGCCACATGCCATGACGTCACCCCTGCCTGCCCCGCCCCAAACGGCTGCCCACGCAGCTGGGCGCGGGCCCCGACGTTTTGGAGGCGGCAGCCGCCGCCGCCCCCCGCCGCCCTCTTTTGCTTTACACACCCTACACACAGCAGGAGCCCCTCAGCGGCCTGGCGCCCGGCGACATTGCCGCCGTGTTGGAGGTGGTCGTCGGCCGTGCGGGCGGGGCCGGGGCCCCGTCGGCTGTCAGTGGACGCCAGGAGGACGAGGCCCCAGAGGCGCACTGGCTGCCACCGGCGGAGCGAGCAGCCACGGAGGCGCAGCAGCAGCAGCAGCAGCAGCAGCAGCAGCAGCAGCAGCAGCAGCAGCAGCAGCAGCAGCAGCAGCAGCAGCAGCAGCAGCAGCAGGGCGGCCGCGCCGCGGCGGCCGCACCCAGCAACGAGGGCGCCGGCAGCGGTGGCGGCGGCGGCGGCGCCGGCGCGGCGCCGCGCGAGAGCCTGGGGCAGGTGTGTGCCTGCATCCTGTCGAAGCTCATTATGGACACCTGGCTGAGCGCCGGCCCCGAGGCGTCGGCGCCGCTGGTGCTGCGCATGCTGCAGCAGGCGCTGCACCACGCTAGCCCCTCCGTGCGGGCGCGGCCGTTTGACGTGCTGTACAACCTGTCGATCCACGCGGGCCTGCTCGCCAGCTGCGAGAGCGCGGGGAATGGCGGGGACACGCCGCTGCAGATGCTGTTGCCCGGCGGCGGCGGTGGAGGAGGGTTGGCAGCAGGGGGCCCCGCACGGCCGGGGATCGCGCCGCCGTCGACGCCGCCCGAGACTGCGGGGCAATTGTACGCGCGCCCGCGGTCGCCAACAGGCGCGCAGCGGCCGCGCGGCGGCGGCGGCGGCGGGGGCGGGGGCAGTCAGGCGGCGCCGCAGCTGCGGTCGCCGCGGATACACCTGCCCCAGCAAGTTATGCACCAGCCGGGCAGTGGCGGGGGCAGTGACAGCGGCAGTGGCAGCGGCGGCGGCGGCTCCTCGCCTCGCTCGCCCCTGTCCCTATCGCTGGGGCCC